GGCGCAAGGTGGGTCACACGACGCCGCAGACCATCGCTGAAAAAAAAGGCTAATAGTTACAGCTGTCTGCTGACGGCTGACGTAAGATTCTTTGTAGCTTTTTTCTAGCCCGTAGTATGGTTCTCGCTATTAATACATGTAAAACCGTATCTCTCTCCTAAAGTTTCTTGATTCTAGCGCCTAAACCCTTACAGCCTTCTTCTTATTTCTCTCCTCTATCTTATAATTTAGCTCTTGTTTAGTTTACACCTAAAATTTTACACCATGTCACATCAAATGTTAGGACATATGTATGGAAAATTAAATATAGACTAAAAAATAATTAATTATATAGATGGTAACTAATTTACAAGACGGATCTTTTAAACCTAATTAGTCTATGATTTGACAACAAAGTGCTACAGTAGCATATGTGCTAATGATGGATTAAAAGGCTTAATAAATTCGTCTCCTGGTTTACTGACGGATTCTGTAATTTGTTTTTTATTAGTATTCGAACACCTCATACGACACCCCACGTAACACTCGATGTGGGCCTTCTTTAGTTTCAAAAGGTTTCCCAAAAAGTGCTACAGTAGTTATCACATCGAATCTTGCGATATGTGCATGGAGCATTAAATGTAGATGAAAAAAAACTAATTGCACAGTTTGGTAGGAAATCGCGAGACGAACGTTTAGAACCTAATTAGTTCATGATTGAACACTAATTGATAAATAAAAACAAAAATTCTACATTAGCTAAAATCCTAAATTTTGCGGAACTAAACTAGGCCTTAATCAGCTTTGCCTGCTATTATACTTCTCTCGATGACTGCGCGTCCATGATCGGTCAAGGTTGCGGCCGGGGATCCGGGCCTCGTTTAGATTGTAAATTTTTTGCAATCCGGATACTGTAGCACGTTTTGTTTGTATTTGATAAACTTTGTTCGATCATGGACTAACTAGGCTCAAAAGATTCGTCTCGTGATTTACAATTAAACTGTGCAATTAATTATTTTTTTTACCTATATTTAATGCTCCATGCATGTATCTAAAAATTGATGTGATGGAGAGAGAGTGAAAAAACTTAAGAAATTTTGATGGGATGTAAACAAGGCCCGGATCCTTTGAGTTTGAGATGATGGCGTGCGTGACAACTGACAACTGACAAGCGCTGCCTGTGATGGGACAAACTGCTCGGCCTGTGCAAGTGCAACACACGGCTGGGCGGGGTGTAAAATTCTCAAGCCAGCGAGAGTCGAGAGGCCCAGATGTGTTTAGTGCTGCTAGCTAGGGACTAGGTTGGGATGCTGGCACCACAGCAGGCCAGGACACGGCACGATGAGCGAATCATGTGGAGTTCTCTCCGAGTTCTCCTAGCACTTGGCGAGCTACTTGGCTGGTTGATGAATCGAGCATGGACTACTTGTTACAAAAAGAATAATCGAGTATTAAACAAATGTTGCAATTTGGTAATATTATCTAGGCGTAGGATTCATATATTCATTCATACCGTACCCCACGGCTACCGTGAAGTGCAGTGCCTGATTCAGTCCCCAAGCCATATGTGGCTCGCCAAAGCCATACCCTCTTAAATCATCACCCTCCGTGCCTTGTGGCAGCTTGGGTGACATGCTGATTTCTGGCAACGGAGTGCTGGACCTGCAAGCGGGCGGTGACGAATTCAGCGGTGGTGGAAAAACTTTCGCTCCCTTTCTTTGAACGAGACAGGAAGATTTTAGTAGATTGAGACAAAAAATTGGGATATAGAAGAAATGGGATTTGGTGCATTTATTTTTTTCATCTCTTTCTTTTTAAGAAATTTATAGAAGATTTACCATTGAATTAAGGAGTAGTTTGACAAGGCCATGTCTCCTCTTGTGGAGCTTAAACCATTTTGAAAGATGTTTGGCAAAAAAAAAAGGCTCTAGCGACAACTTTATTATAATTCACATCAAGTTTGTGAAAAGCCGGGACAAACCACGTTTTTTTGCCTCCAGCTTCTCAGTACAAAAACGACTCCGACTCATTCGGACTCCTTGTAAGGTTTTATTTTTTAGATAATTGTTTGGCACGACCCAAACAACCCCGCAGAAGAGCTACAAGAAAGCGGAAGCCAAAGTGCCAAAGACACTCTAAATCAGAGGAGTAAAAAGAGTACAACCTGTGTGAGCAAATAGGAATATAGAGGGTGTTTCTCCATCCCATTCTCACAATCTCACTATATGTCAGTTTTTAGGAAAAAAAAAAGGTGATTGGTTTTCTCGAAGTTGCTCTTGGATCTAGTTTTTGCATGGCCATACTGCCAACGCAAAAGAGAAGCCACCGTGACGGGCATCAAAGTCGCCGACGGATTTTGACCGCCATCACCGTCACGCACCCCTCCACTCCACCGTTTGTTCTCTCCATCATCGACTCACCCTACTAGTCCTAGACCTGGCTCTAGATAGAAAGGAGATTTCCTCAGCTGAAACAAGCGCTTGAGATTTTACAAAGAACTACGATTTGAGTCGATATGCCAAGCAATTATGCGACACAAATCACTCGTCTAACTGCTTTATTTGTTTGATGTTACCATCAGGGCACCCGCAGTGGTGAGCTGACTCGTCGAAGAAAGAGAAGGCCACGTAGATCCAAAACCGACTCATCAAAGAGTCGACTCAGTCTTCTCCCAATCTTCTCCAGTGGTGTGAGATCCAAAGTCGACTCTTCCGTCTCCCTCTGCTGGCCGCAGCTTTTCCCTTTCTTCTATTCTCTTCTCTTGCCCAAGCGCATGCAACTAGGCCGGAAATCCATCTGCAGGAACGACGCTGTGGCCAGGCAGCGCCGCTCCCAACCCTCGCGCACCTGCCGAAGGCCACGACCGGGTGGTCCTCTATGGCGCGGCCGGCGAGGGCCCGTGCAAGGTGCCCCGAGCGTCGCAGCTCATGGCCAGGCGAGCTCTCTCGAGCGGCATGGCGGACCTCGAAGCAGCACGGGCGGCGGCGCAAGTTGCGGCCAGGCGTGATCCCCGAGCGGCGGCGGCTCCCCGCCTGGCGAGCTCCTCCCGAGAGGCGCGGCCGACCTCGAAACAGCACGGACGGTGGCGCAAGTCGCGGCCAGGCGAGGCCGAGGGTCCGCGCTGCGTTTGCCATGGCAAAGGTCGCGGCCGGGGAGGGGCCAGCGGCGCGTCCTTGAGCATTGCGTGGAAGTCGCCGATTCAGTTTTTTATTCGGACGAACCGATGCAAGATCTTGCATCGACTCTTCTCTCTCTCCTCGACGAGTCGGCATCCTCCAGTGATGAAATCGACTCATCCGGGCTCCACGTAGGAGCGTGAGTCGGTTTGTGGAAGCCACTGGAGAAGCCCTCAAGGTAACGTGCTGAGCAACAGCTCGATATGTGTGCCAGGTTGCTCGGTCAATGGAAAAAGCACCATCATATTTTGCTCGGAGAAAGAAAAGAAATAGCACCACAGTAGCACAAAAAGTAGCGCACAAAGTTACTTTACACGGATCAGCAAGATTCCTAGGAGAGGTTGTGTTAGGTGCTGGACCGCGATTTCTTTTGTCAAATCAAGTTTTGTTCGGTTCGGAAACAGATGCACGACTCATGAATCTGCCGCTGCATACAACAACAAACAGCCAAGCCCAAACACAGACAGGGTCAGGTCTCAGGTTAGGCTAAGGCCTCGTTCACTTTGCAAAAAATTTTAATTCGATGAATAGAACTTTTTTATTTGATGAAGTGAGGCTCAAAAGATTGACTCGTGATTTCCAACTGGCTGTGTAATTAGTTAAAAGAAGAGGAAAATTGATCTGATCCTACTACTTGTAATTTGGATGGCATCTAAACAAGGCCTAATTATCTTTGAGTAAATTCCTTCAGTGCCATTGAAAGTTATAACTATCCCCTATTTGCCATTCAAAAATATAGTTTTCCTTCATTGCCATTAATATAGATTTCTCTTCCCTTATGTGCCATTACTGTTATTTTTGGGAGAGTCAAGAGCTAACGCCGTTAAAACTCCGTTCGATAGCACCTGCTCTGATGAAAATTTTGGAGCCGGATTCAGTAACTTTACAGAGCAAAGTCACGTTGTAACTTTCTTTCAATCTCCATCCTCCAGTTAGCATCCGACGGCTCCAATAAATTTAACCGCAACCGCAAATTCCAAACTTTAACCAACTAAACATGCGAACTCATGGCAGCCGGTAGGGAGCGCCGTCGAGTCGCCATCAGCAGCGTATGGGCGGCAGTAGTAGCGCCAGCACCCAGCAGCAGCAGGAAAGCCTCGACGCGACGGCTGCGTCGATGCGCGTACGGGATGCTAGGGAATCTCGGGGCTCGGCTTTCGCGAATTCTTTTTGCGCCCCCCGAGAAAGGATAGACGGCTCTCCGGCTGTGACGTACTGCTTCCGATGGCCAGGGCCCAGGACAGGCTACCCACCTGACGCCGAATCTTTCTCCGTGCGTGCCACTCACGGCCGCACGAGTGGCTCCGCTGGTGACGCGCAAGTGAGCTGCCGTACTTGTTTACTCCGTATGATGAGCCGGAGCCCGGATTACCGGAGTGCTACTCCAGTCCAGTCCACGCCCGTCGTTTGGAAGCGTTCGTTTGGCGGTTTGGCGTTGATGTTGCATTTTCTTTTGGCCCAATCGATCTGCCGCCTGCTATGCTTCCGTTGATGCGATATACTCCTGCTTCGAAACGCCGTTCTGCGTACGCACGGTCGCGGTCACGGTCCCGCTAAAAGCGGATTAGCGCGTGATCAAGCCAGCCAGCCGACACGTGTGTTGAGTGGCGTGTACTCGGCCCCTCGCAGAACGCAGACGCAGCTCGTTTCTGTCGCTGTCGCGTGAGATGAAGCGCTAAAAGCGGATTAGCGCTTGCACTTTCGGTCGCCTTTTCTCCATCAGCCGCCACCGCATCGTCTGCGGGCCTGCCGCCTTCCTTACGTTACGCATGGACAAATTTTCCCACGCGCGCGAGGACGTCGCTTTCCGGGTCCAGTCGTGCACCCGCGCGTCGCAGTGCCACCTCAACGCTGTTCGTGTTCGTGGTTATCCACAGGGAAAAGGGGCGACCACGACGTGGCGACCGGCGACCCTGAGCCACGGCCACTGGTTGGATGGCAGCTGGATGGCACGCCGAATCTTTCTCCGTGCGTGCCACTCACGGCCGCACGAGTGGCTGCTCTGCAACTCGATGAAAGGACTTGGGATCTCTGCAGACTCTGATTGCCGGACCCAGAGCATCCACGCCCGTCAGCTGTGTTCAGCGTTATCAAAAGAACAGACACGGCTGCCGGCTGCATCTGCAAACTTAGAGCATCACGCAGTGTATGGAACGCACGGTCGCGGTCACGGTCCCGCTAAAAGCGGATTAGCGCGTGATCAAGCCAGCCAGCCGACACGTGTGTTGAGTGGCGTGTACTCGGCCCCTCGCAGAACGCAGACGCAGCTCGTTTTCGGTCGCCTTTTCTCCATCAGCCGCCACCGCATCGTCTAAATAAAATATCCATCGTTACGCATGGACAAATTTTCCCACGCGCGCGAGGACGTCGCTTTCCGGGCAAGCAGTGCCACCTCAACGCTGTTCGTGTTCGTGGTTATCCACAGGGAAAAGGGGCGACCACGACGTGGCGACCGGCGACCCCGAGCCACGGCCACTGGTTGGATGGCAGCTTTTCTGCTCTGCAACCGGATCAAAGGAGGGATCTCTGCAGACTCTGCTTGCCGGACCCAGAGCGTCCAACCCCAGCTGTGTTCAGCTATCAAAAGAACAGACACGGCCCGGCCGCATCTGCAAACTTAAAAGTATGACGGAAAAAAAATGGTCTTCCATACAAAGTTGAGAAGTTTTATCAAACTCCACACGGGTCAGCAAAATCAATTTTCTGAAAGGCAAAGTGTTGGCTGGTGCAGCCAATGAATCTGAAGAAAAAATGTCACAATAGAACCCTACGAATCTAAAGGGTCACCGGGTGCTTGTCCTGAAATGTGCCTTTCTAACCACTACCGAACATACGATGAATAGGAGCTGTATACGTTTGAACATTGCCCAGCAAGTTGTTCTTTGTCCACAGTGATCTTTCCAGACAGATGGCTGAGAAAATCGTTGTGCAGCGCGTGACCAGCCTTTGTCACAGAAAAGGAAAAAGTTAAGTTCAGGTGCCACAAGAGAGCTCCAAGGATTAGCATAAACAAGACAACAAAGTAGAAGGAAAAACAAGGAAATCAATTTACAATCTGTTTCTCTTAGACAGAGAACCTTCTTGCACAAACAGGGTACGCAGAGAATATGCTATGGCCTCAGACAAACACTGCATTTTCACTTGGTGGTTTCAGCCAGGGCTTATCAGCCAGCCATTAGTGTTTTCCTCTCACAACAAACCAGCACCAGCCGGACTTATCAGCCCAGAAACCAACTAGCGAACAGGCCGATTATCTCAGAACCAAAAAAAAAAAAGGTGGTCTGTAGCATAAGGTCACATCAGAATAATGAGTGTCGATGCAACTTCCAAGGCTTTAGTTGAAATCACAGTAACGGTACTCTTTGTTATTGATGTACCCTTTGGGATAACTATAATTATGGCCTAACTTTTACTATGCCTCTGATCTATTAACGGTATATGAAGTCACTGTCTGGTGTTTTCACTGTCATGAACTACATGATCTTTTTACCTACCACTACAAATGGGATTGAAAGTTAACTTCATAAAGGAACTAGTCAGCCAAAACTATAAGGCGAGACAGTGCAAAATGAAACCCCCTCAAATGAGACACCAACTTTATGTGTGAGAAATCAACACAAAATGACCACCAACATGTTACCAAGATCTGGTGAAAATCAAGCTTTTTATTAGTTTTCACATGATCAAGAAGATATGTATCAGTAAACAAAAACCAACAGTTTGACTGAGCAGTAATTTAAAAAAGTAAAGTTGTGAGTTGCATGATCACAACTCATACAATGGTACAATAGTTGTCTCATAATCTTACATTTCGTTCATGAGGTGGTTTCACGAAACAACGACCTCTTACCAGTAAAAATCCTACGTGGCACTGCATGAGACGGAGTACGAGATGCTAACATGTAGCAATGTACTTGCCCTAACTAGTGAAAAGAAGAGCATGAACTTGGAATTTAAAGAGGTGACTCTTCTATGATTTTATTTTAAGTAAAGGAAAGGAACTTATGAGGCAGTTGTTAACTTATAACACACATAACAAGACAGTAGTGAGTTGAATAAAGAAGTTACCTTATAGGCAATTATATGAGCAATTGGAAAACCCTGGTTACCATTCTGTGCAAACAGCGAGAAGTCACCAATAAGATCTAAAATCTTGTGGCGGCAAGGTTCATCCTCGAACCGCAGTGGTGGATTCAGCCAACCACCAGATATGCTGTCAAATTACCAAATAAGCAGTACACGATTATCTGATATAGTTGAGAGAAAATACATAATCCAAATAATGCAACAGTTTCATTCCCAGCCCATAAGTCGCAACATCATCAAGGCGCAAAGTTTTGAAAGGAAGGAATAAGAGAAGCAACAGTCCCAATGGTCCTGCTGGTTGAACTACGTGGCACACCGCAAACCACTGGATGGTCCACTACTAGCTGACTTGATGTTGATGACTTTATAAATAAGCGATTTATGTAACAGCAGCACGTATTCATATTAAACTAGTCAAGGCAAAAGATGGCGTTCACCGCATAGTAGTTATCTTGGAAGTACAGATAAAAAGCTCCTACTAAAATAAACTTTACTCAAAGTTCAGAGTACCTGTTCATATTAAATTATTACTATTTAATAATTAAGGGTTGTTACTCATGAAGCCATTTTTAACATAAAATATTTAAGAAATAAACCAACAAAAGGTTAATGTTGTAGTTGCACTACGGATATTGAAATAAGTCTGAACTGTGGATTGCCTTGTATTCACAACATGACAACAGATCCAGAAGAATATAAACCTTCAATAAATTGGCCAACTAGGATACCTCTAATAGGCAGTTCTACACAACGTTAAATAAACAAGCAACATTTTCCAGCATATTGCTCTTCACCTGCAAACCATAGCATTTTCTAGTGACCCTCCTTTGATGAGTCCAGCAGCACGCATTTCCTCAACCTGTTGAACTAAAAAATGCAGCAAGCAGAAGTGAGTCACTATGTATGTGTGATTCATGACCAAAAAATGTCTTTTAACAAAAGAAAAAAATATTAATACAGATCCCCATAACAAAGGATCTTGCAACCTCCCAAAAATAACAGGAGAAAAAAGAAGTAAAGCAGTGCTACAGGGACAGAAAATTGTGAGAAAGTTATAACAAATAATTCTGGAACCTTCCAAGGAAAAGAAAAGGCACACAGGACAAAGGCAGCAAACTTGTGAGGACAACATAGGACGTACTCCCTCTGGGCCGTTTTCTAAGGCGCCAGGAGATGGATTCCAGATACGAAGGAGGAATTAATCCAAGCCCGTGATGCTGTGCCAAAGTGCTCATATTTATTGGATTTGATTCCATAGTGTGCATGTGGTTGCAGTGACGCTTCGTGAAAAGTAGCCAGCCGGCGTTTTTGCATTGGTCGAGGACTCAAATAGTGTCAAGGTTGCATGCAATGATCGCTTCAAAAACAGTGCTTGTGTCAAATCACCAGTACTTGGAATGACAGCGCGCCTTACATAGTGGCCTTTCAGAAAAACGCGATAGCGCCTTAGAAAGCTGCCCGGAGGGAGTACTTTTAAGTCCTTATCCAAGTAAGAATAATGCAATTGTTATAGAGTACGCTAGAAGATGAAAATGAATATAAAGCCATGTATCACAAAATCATCAGTTCATGACAAAGTAAATTAGCATTAACCATGTGCTAGGTAAGTAACTTAGTCCTACATAAGGAGGTTTCTCAAGTATACATGTAAATGTGAACCCAAACAGTTGTAAATACAGGATAATAGCAGGTAATGTAATCTTTTAAGAGAGAGTATACAAATGCATATTACCAAAAGGAGACAGAAGTGATTAAAAACATATGCTAGATGTATGAGTAAACCTCTTCAAATATACAGAAAGTTCTTGCAGGCGCAATCTTGCTTGAGTATATATTATCATCCAGGTATGTGGAAACCCATTGACACCCAATCGTTGGCACCTGCAATAGATGCACACTTTGCTCAAGTTACATACAAGTCTGAAACTTTTTCAACATTATAGTAGTCCAAAAGCAGTTAGAAGTTAGAAAATATGATAGCAGATGTCATATAGTAAGCACAACACAAGGTATCAGACTGAACCAATGCATGGACATTTTACGAACAAACAAGAAAGATAGTATACTAGTACTTCTTCCTTCTTCCATAAAGAATAATTGATGGCCATAACATTAACAAGAACAAAGCTAAGCCTAAACAACTCATAAACAAAAATGTTTAACCTTAATTCTCATGTTCTAGCACACATTATTTGTATGAGGGAGTATGATACACAGCTCTCTTGCATGTTTAAAAAAAGGGCGTACCCAGTGCAGAGAGCTCCCGCTCTGTGCGGGTCTGGGGAAGGGTGTTAGGCCCCGTTCGGCTTACCCCATATTCGGCTTCTTTTTTCAGCCGGAACAATGTTTTTCTCTCACAACAATTTAGTCAGAACAGTGTTTTTCAGCCAGTTTCAGCCAAAATTCTGTCAGCCGAACGGGGCCTTAGTGGCAAGCCTTACCCTCGCCTGTGCAATGCGAGGAGACCGCGACTCGAACCCGGGACCTTCCGGTCACAGGCGGTAAGACTCTACCGCTTGCACCAGACCCGCCCTTCTAGCTCTCTTGCATGTTTGGTGATGCGACACATCCTGCCTTGGCCTATGCCATAAAACATTGGCAAACTGAAAAGGCAGCCATAACATGGATATCAAAATGACGCAATGGGCTCCAAGTAAATCATGTCGTACATGAACATAGAGCAAAATCAGATCCAAAAAGTCAATTTGGGGTGACATTTATCTGTGTTCAAACTTATAGTGACCAAAGAACCCACCCTATTTGTGTATATCTAATGGTCTAATGTTATTGATAATTTTATAAACAATGCATCACTGGGTCATAAGACATGATCCAGTTTCATATCCATAACGAACTAGCTTTTTACTTATTTCAAAAGGAAGAGATGAATATACCTTTGGGAAATCAATGCCATAGGTGATGTGGATTTGTGAGCAAGGGAATGCAGCTATAAAGCAATCATCTCTCCGTAGGTAAACAGGCTCATGAATTTCAGGCGCCAGTTTATCCAACTTTTGCCCATTGGCGTCCTCTGCCGCACACAAGCCAACGCTTTGTATTGCTTCTACCCACTCTTGCGCTGATCCATCAAGCAAAGGAATCTGGCATTGCTTAAGCACTTTCACATAAATCGAAAACACAACTATAACTCAACACCTTCCCACCTAAGGTATTAACATTGGAAGTAGGGAACTAAAACAAAGGTGAGAAATGAGCAAACATCCGCGCACCTCGTCACCGCCGCTAAGCTCGATACGGCAGTTGTCGACGCCAAGTGCCTCCATCGCCGAGAGAAGGTGCTCCACCGTCCGGACCCGCGTGTGGGCGCCTTCGCCTCGCCGAAGCGTCGTGCAGAGCTGCGACCGTGGCTCAGCGTTCCTCACCTCTGCCGCCACCCTCGCCTCCTCCTCACCCTCCACGAGGAAATACCTACCCTCGCCAGCTTGCGTCGGGAACAGCGTGGCGGTGACGCACGCTCCCAAGTGGAGCCCACGCCCGACCTGCTCACCGCCGCCGCCAGCGTTTGCTGCGGGCGCCCCGTCTGGCAGAGGAGGGTTAGTCTGCCATAGTTTTCAGACAAATGTTTAATTGTTTTTAAACACTAGAGCGTCGCTGACTTACCGGCTTCCAGGAGAAGGCTGCGCGGGAGACGGACGTTAGGGCTCGGGCGGCGGTGGAGGACATGGCGGCGGCGGGGAAGGCAGCGGAGGCAGAAACCTCAAAGTCAAAGCCATCTATACTGATGATGGGAGGGGAAAAAAGAGGAGGCTTTTACCCGCACGCCTATATAAAAGTTAAAAAAGTTAAGCTACCATTGTTCTAAACTTTTTTTTTCTTTCTACCATTCCATTCACCTTCCGTCGTGTTTTTACTGTTTATGTGGGTCCGATAAGTGAAAACCTCTAAAATATCATTCTCTCGTCCCTATCCTCTCCCTCGCTGACGCTCTCTCGTTCTCCATCTCAACGCATGCTTGTGGGATGGCGCAAGGGAGAAGGCGCTGCTGGCGCACGCGCGCCACCAAGGAGAACTCCACCGTGCAACTCGCTTCGCTGCTCGCACTCTCTCACTCGGCTGGTGCTGCTCGTTCGCAGACGTCCCGAAGAGCCCCGAGCACCGCCGTGCGCTCCTGGCGTCGTCCGCAGCAAGCGCCGCCGCTGAAGTCCCCGCCGGCGCCATCCTCACACAACTCACCGTCGTCGAAGCTGGCACCGCCGAGGAGGCGGCCAATGGCAGCCTGCGGAAGGACAGGATGTTCACACGCGAATGGCGTCGAGGCGAAGCCTCGCCGTCCGGAGCGCACGCTCGTGGATTAGCCGTGTTGGGGCAGCTCGCCGGCCTGTGTGCGCGGCCCGTTCGCGATAGACCCTTGCTGGTACAGTCAAACGCTCCTGCGCGAGCCCGCGATGCCTGGCTACGACTACGACGACGAGACGTTCGAGAGGATATTCCGGTGGATCTACTCCACCGCCGCCATGGACCCCACCGGTTGAGCTCGTCGGTCTCCAGGCTCCATCGACGCCCCGAACCTGGTGCGCCACCCGCACTACCGCTTCGTGCCCGTACCCGACGGCATTTCCGGGCCGTCCCCCATCGCCATCGAGGACGTTGAGGCGTGCATCATCGCGCTCAACGCCGCGTGCGAGCCCCACTTCCGAGACAAACTCGCCGCCGTCCTGGAGGAGGACGAGTACTCCAGGGACGCCGTTGCGTGCCTCGTCGCCGACGCGCACCTGCTCCCGGTGTTCCAGGTAGCCGTGGTGCCAGTGTTTGACGTCGACCTGCTCCACAAGCTCTCACCCACCGGCGGCGGTGACAGCAGCCTGCTGCGGCAGGACCGGACATGCCTGGAGTGGCTAGACGCGCGGCCGCGGGACTCCACGCTCTACGTGAGCTTTGGCAGCCTAGCCTGCATGACCCCGCGGGACCTAGCGGAGACGGCGTGGGGCATCACCGCTCGTGCCGTTCCTCTGGGCCGTCCGGTCGGGCCTCGTCCGCGGGGCGTGCAGAGCCAGCATCAGCAGCAGCTCCCCGAGGGGTTCGAGGCCGCGACGCGTTGGTGCGGCATGGTGGTCGCGTGGGCGCCGCAATAGAAGGTGCGACCTGCTCGCTTCCTGGCATCATGAACCCCACCGGTGAGTTCACCGACCGCGAGCTGGCCCTGGAGCTCCTGTCATCGCGGATGAAGTTGCTGGCGAGCGCGACCGGGACGAGGAAGCACAGCAGGAGCAAGTAGCCGGCGTTGGCGCCACGGCTCGTCGATGCGGCACATGAGTGCGCTCGACAGCGGGGCAGCGCGTGGAGACAAGCACGGCTCCAAGACTCCGCGCTCGCCGGCCTTCCCCGGTGATCGGAGCATCGCCATTGCTGAGCTCCGCTACAGGGACGCAATGCCCTCAGACCCAAGGACATTTGTGACTTTTTCCAAGGTAATTTAACACTGTTAGATAAAAAAATGGATAGAATGGTTTATAAGACAAAAAGAGTTTAGAGCAGTGACACATGCGAGAGCTTAACTTTTTAATGACTTATTGTGTAATTACAAACTTTTTACGATGGCACACGGATCGAATAAGAGCGCCGGGGACACCTGTTTTTTTTTTCCCCCAGTTCCACAGACAAACACAAACCCGAAACCAGCCCCAGTCCCCCCAGTCGACTCCGGAACCTCCTGCCGCCACTCCGCCCAAGGCCCCGGTCAAGCTCGCCACCGGCCATTCCCATGTCTCTAGGCCGCCTCGGCCGCGCGCCCTCGTCGCTATTCCTGCTCCAGTCCTTCACCACCACCGCCGCCGGCGCCCCACCGGCCGCGCCCACCCCCTCATCCCCGGGCTTCCTCGCGCACCACCTGCTCGACGAATTCTCCCGCCCGCGCGCCACCCGTGACGCGGCCCGCCTCCGCCGCCTCGCGGCGTACCTCACGCCGCCCGCCACGGAGTCCGTCATCCTCCGCCTGCCGTCCTGGCGCCACGCGCTCGACTTCTTCCGCTGGGCCGCCAAGCAGCCGGGCTTCCGCCACTCCTGCTATTCCCTCAACGCCATGGCATCACTCCTGCCACCGCACCAGCGCGCGCACCTTGACCGCCTCGCCACCGACGCGCTCGCCTCTCGCTGCTCCATGACGCCCGGCGCGCTGGGGTTCCTCCTCCGCCGCCTCGGCGCGGCTGGCCTCCCGGATACCGCTGCCCGCGTCTTTGATGCAGCGAGGACGACGCTCAGCTGCGCCCCAAACTCGTACACGTACAACTGCCTCCTCGAAGCACTCGGCAAGGCCGGCCGTGCGGAAGACGCCGAGGCGCGGTTGCAGGAGATGGTGGCGAGTTGCGGTGACGAGAGTGTCGACAGGTACACGCTCACCTCGCTCCTAAATTGCTATTGCAACGCGGGGCGTCCTGAAGACGCGAGCGCCGTGTTACAGAGAATGAGCGAGAAGGCCTGGGTGGATGAGCATGTGTTGACGATGCTTGCTGTGGCGTTCAGCAAGTGGGGAAAGGTGGAGGATGCAGTTGAGCTGATTGGGAGGATGGAGGCACTTGGCATGCGACCAAGCGAGAAGACATTGAGCGTTCTGGTACATGGGTTTGCCAGGCAGGGGAGGGTTGATATGGCCATGGATGTGTTTGGTAAGATGGCCAGTTATGGATTCAGTGTGGATTTGGCGATGTACAGTGTGTTAATTGAGGGGCTGTGTGATGGAAACGAGATGGGGAAGGCTGTTAAATTGTTCCAGGATATGAAGAGGGACAGAGTTACACCTGATGTCCGCTTGCTCAAGAAGATGATTGAGGCATTCTGTAGACAAGGAGATTTCTCTATTGTTGGCCCATTCATTAATGAAAATGCAGTGCATCTGAAACCCGGCAGTGCTGTCCTATTATATAATGTGATTCTTGAAGGTCTTACTAACCATGGAGAGGTAGAAGCAGCATATCAGTTGCTTAGCTCCATGGTGCGTGGTGGTCAGAGGGTTAGTGATGATGATACTGTTGGTGTGCATATTTTTGTTATCAGTGAAGATATGAAACCAAACTCTGATTCGTTTAACATTGTAGTGTGCGGCCTTTGTAAGGTTAAGAAGCTGGATCTGGCTTTGGCTCTCACAAAGGACATGGTTGGCCTTGGTTGCAAGGGAAAGCTTTTGATGTTTAATGATTTGATACTTGAATTGTGCAATTCGGATAGACTAGATGAAGCATATGAGATATTCAACCAAATGAAGGATCTTGGTTTGAAACCCTCCGAGTTCACATATAATTCATTGTTTTATGGTATTTGTAGAAGAAAAGATACTAGTGCTGCCACTGATCTGCTGAGGGAGATGCGGACAAACTCGCACAAACCATGGATTAAGAACTGCACAGAGATGGTGCAACAGCTTTGTTTCAGTGGCAGGATAACAGAAGCCTTGCAATTTCTCGATGAAATGTTAAAATTAGGTTTTCTTCCTGACATTGTCACGTACTCTGCTGCCATGAATGGGATGTGTAAAATTGGAGAGATAGAAAATGCATTAGGGCTTTTCCGTGACATTTCTTCCAAATGTTATCTTCCAGATGCGGTGGCACATAATATCTTGATAAATGGATTCCGGAAAGCTGGCAAGTTTGATGAGGCGCAAGAAATCATGGAAGAAATGTTGAGTAAGGGTCTGTTTCCTTCTGTAGTTACCTACAATCTTATGATTGATATTTGGTGCAAGTCTGGCAGGATCGACAAAGCAATCACTTGCGTATATAAAATGATTGATGAAGAGAAGCCACCAACAGTTGTTACATATACAAGTTTGTTAGATGGACTCTGTAATGCTGGAAGGCCTGATGAAGCCATTGTTTTGTGGTGCAAAATGAGTGAAAAAGGCTGTTCGCCAAATGAGATAGCATATACTGCTTTTGTTAATGGACTGTGCAAGTGTGGTCGAATGGAGACTGCAGTGAACTACTATGAAGAGATGAAGATGAAAGGTTTTGACTTGGATATTTTTTCCCTATTAAATTTAACAAATTCGTTGATAGCACAGGGACAGGCCAGTAAAGGATGTGAGCTTTTGAAAGTTATTCTCCAAAAAGACGTGGTGCACAGTAATCATTTGAAAATGGTAGGCTTAATAGATAAAGCGACAAAGGAGCTGTCCAAAGATGGAAGAATCTCTTCAGATATCATGATACTTGTAGATAAATGGTTAGTTTCAAGGGGTCAAGGTATGCACATCGAAGATGGAAGCAAATCAGATCTGCCTTAGGGCCTGTTTGGGTACCAAGGGATAATTGTCAGCTGCTAAGAATTTGCCAAAATTAGCCCTAGCATATCCAAACAGGGGACTAACAGGTGGGCTAATTTGTTAGCCAGCCTACAACTAGTTGTTAGCCAACTTTAGCTAATTTAGGCTATTTTTTAGCCCGAAGGAGAAACTAGCCCTAGCTAATCCAAACAGGCACTTGGATGTGTGCTCAAGTCTGATAGTGACCAAAGAGTCATTGTGTCATCTGTGAGATAACATGTGCAGATTCCCTCAAAAAACAACATGTGCAGATTGTACATTTTTGTGTACATGTTTTTCTGCTTCAGCAACAACTTTCTGCAGGAAGACCTTCCTTAATCTGCCTTTTAAGGTATGCCCAATTGCAATTACACTTTCCCGGCATCATTCCTCATGTTTTATCAGCAAAGTAAATACTTTGCTTATC